ACCTAGACGGACGCGGCAAAGGAGGATGAAGACAGTAATAAATCGGATGGCGTTAGGCGGAAGTTGGTTCAAGGGTAGGTCGAACCACTTGCAGAGATCGATCAAATCCTGGCTTAAGGGAAAGCGGATACCAAGTTTGAATTGAACTTCAAAGAAGGTGTAGCAGTTCTTGGGAGGGTTGTCGTAGGTATCTAGGGGACCTGGAGATATGAAAGCCCAGCTGGTAGGATGGCCAACTTCTTCGACATCCAACCAACCAGCTATAAGAGAATGAGAGGAAGAAGAAATTTTCTTCGACTTACCCTTCTTCGGGGCAGCCTTAGGAGAGACAGGAGCAGGGGTAGAGGATTTTGGGGCGTTTGGTTTGAGGAGAGGGGAAGGAATAGCCCTAGCGAAAATGGAGTGGCGAGAGAGAGGGGTATTATCTTCAGCCTCCTCAGCAGCATCAAGAGCTTCTTCTGCAACGTCAGAAGCCCCAAACGCTGGCCGGCGACGATTGAGGGGTATATGGTCAAGGGCATCCTCGTCTGATTCATCAATCAGACGAGTAGGTTGGTGAGGAGGACAGGATGTGTCATAATCGGAGGGGCGCAAAATACTGATGGGAGTGGGATTGTAGATTTCCTCAACAAAGCGAGAAGGTGAATGAGGGATAGGCCGATGAGTGGGGAATGAAGACGCGGCATTCTCATCTCCACCAGAGTGAGGGCTTGATGCGTTAGAATCGACAGAATCTGAAAAGAAGAAAGAAAAATTAAGAGGGATAGAAGAAAGGGAAGGGTTCGAAAAATGGAGAAAGGGGTTTTTTTTCGCAGATGAGCGAGAGGGTTTGGGAGAAAGGAAGAAACAACAAAAATCGACAAATTAAAAACACAAGAATGTAAAACTCAAACACAGAGGACTTACTCATGATTGCAGTAGAGAACGGTCGCCGAAAATTGCTTGATTAAGAATTGCCGAGAACAGGAGAGAACAGCTTGCAGAGAAGAAATTTAGAGCACGAAAGGGTCTGAGATTTGCAAAGAGTAAAGAAGGTTAGAAAATCTGCTAAGTGCGATATTTATACTGAGTAAGATGAACAGTTGTGATAGAGAGCCGTTAGATAAAAGAAGATCTAACGGCTGGGAGGAATTAAAGGATGCAGATAACGAAGGGGTGCAAAGTACGAGGAGGTATGATGATGAAAAAGCGCTAAGTAAAGGGCGCGTGGGTCAGATATAATGTTAAAGGCGGAAAAATGGCGCTTCAAGGTCAAAGGATAAAGATTAAATTCAATTGAGAAGTTAAGAAGATAGAAATATTGAAGAGCCAAACACAAGCTCACTCTTAGATCGAGTCATTTAGACTCGACCAGAGTGGGGGGGACTAGATGATATAGGATATCATGTGTCTAAAGAAGAGACCGGTTTATTGAGTCGACTGGTATTAAAGGGCAAACGTGGAGGGATCGAGCTGGCTGAAGATATTCGAGCAGAGGGATAGATTTGGTCGAGGATCAAGCTGATGAAGGGAAATCGTGGAATCGAGCACTGGCTGAAGATATTCGAGCAAAGCGAGTACTAGCTGAAGATATTCGAGCAGAGGGATAGAGCTGGTCGAGGATCGAGCTGACGAAAGGAACGCGTATAGATCGAGTACCTAGTGAGTGAGAGGCAATCGCGAGGAAGCACGTGGATCTTGATGGAAAGATTTAAAAAAATACTTAAAGGAATAACAATTTTATTCTGAAGAACACGTGGCGAGAAGTTATTGGTATATGATATTAGTGGTGCCTTTTTGTCTCCGACACATGCAGGCATTATGGGAAAAAGGAGAGGGACAATTTTAAGTGGACAATAAAGGGGATCTGGGTGGAAAACCAGGTATCTCATCCATATACAGGTATATATAGCAATAAATCTGAAGGAGAAGGTATCTTGATTATTTTTTATGAACTTATTATCACTGAAAAATAAGAGAGACTGACTTAAGCATCGGAGGCTCTTCACCGGAAAAAACCCCGGTGTGAGAGTTTCTTTGCAGGAACGCAGAGGTCAACCGGCAAGGAGGAGGAAGACGATTCGATTCCAAACCGGTCGGAATATTTTGCGTTACCACTCGGGCATGGGATGTGGGTCCACAACCTCGAGCTTGTGGGCCTGGGACTCGATCAAGTCGATGCACCTTGCTAGACTTTCCACTTGCTCGCTCAATCGGGCACATCTGAGCTCCATCTCCTCCTCTTGTTTCGCTCGGGCCATCAATCGATCTAAGATGAGATCGAGTTTGGCATTGTAGGCGGCCTCTTCTTGTCGAGCTGATTTGGACTCTATGAAATCAAGAATCTGGTCGAGCTTCTCGTTAAACTCGTGGGACTCATAAGGTTGCTCGACCGGAAAATCGTTCCAGCACCGCTCGGACGAATACGGGTAAGGTTGGGTGTGGTACCCGGGGAAATAGACCGGCTCGTCGTTCCAAGATGGGTAATGCAGGGAGGAGTACCCGTGATTGAAATTCATTGTACCTGCACACCAGAACCAAACAACCACGCGAAGCCAAGGAAAAAGAAGAGAAAAGAAGGCAAAAAACTAAAACAAGAACAAAAAAGAAAAACACAAATGCCCAAAGAAACAAAAACACTAAAAATACTAAAATAAAGAAAAGCACAGAAAATAAGATCAAACACCAAAACTAAATATCCTATTTGCCTTCCCCGGCAACGGCGCCAAATTTGTTGTGTACAAATTGTGATATTTTTTACCGAGAACCGAATCGAATGATCCGCTCCCCGGGTCGCTCTCTCGAGGAAGGCGGTTCGGAATCTAGAATTGGTGTTGATGACACACGAAAGCAAGATAAATCCTAAAAACTCTAATCACAACTAGGGTTTGAACTATCAACTAGAAAATAACAGAAAATGCATAAAACATAAATTAACTCAAGAACATGAAACAAACAATGATAAAGATGCTAGGGAATCGAGAATATTTGTTTCGGTTCGAATTGCAGTTAACGGGAAAGTGATTGTTCGGTTAAATGATTCGAATAACCTACTCGTTCAGAGATTCATTCTCAATAACTTTTCGTAACAAGAGAACAAACGTGAACGGCAAATTAACGATTCGCTTAACACCTAGGCAATACAGTTACGAACAAGCCTAGTTCATACAAGCCTAGATCGATCGGTTCCTCCCATTTCGGTTCTAAGAGCTGATTAAATTATCCTAGAAGATGGTTAATCAATTAGTCCATTTAGAATTAACAACATCACGCAAGAACGAATCAAATTCAATTGAAAATCAATTGGAGATTGAAGTGTCGCCCTTCAACAATTCTTAGCATTCAAGCATAATCATCGAAAACCCTATTTAAGAATAACTCGTATGAATTAAACAATCAACGAACACAATAATCACAAACGAAACCAAAACATCATCCCCTATCCCTAGAAATTGGGTTTAGCCACTCATATTCAATTCAACACCATCAACCACAACAATCAAAGCAATCATATTCATGGATTAAATGAATAGAAAACTTACGATTAAAACGGAATTGAGAGTTGAATCTGAAATACAAGATTAATCCGAAAGTAATGAAGAAATCCCATTGAAAAACAAGATCAGGATGGTGTTCTAAAGGTAAGAGAAAGGGAAAAATGGGTTTTGGGGGGCTTTCTTTGGTCTGGGAACGAGTCCCAATGCCCCGTCCTCGAAAAAACGAACAAAATCTAGCTTTTAAAATTCTGGTCGCGACCTTCGCGGCTGCGGGAAGCTCCGAGGCCGCGAGATTACAGCTGCAGAAGGGCTCCGCGGCCGCGGGATTCTCTTCTCCGAGGCCGCGGTGAAGAAAACTGGGCAGCTGCGCGCTGCTTACATTTTGAGCTCGTTTGGGCTCCTCCGAACTCGGAATTGAGTTCCGTTTATTGCTATGCGTCGCCAACGAACCCATCTATCCAGTTATGCTCTCAAAACCAACTTTTCCTGAAGAGAAAATTCGCCCGAAACTCCTGACCTACACACCAAAAACGACAAAACACAAAAGAAAACCGGAAAAACAAACGAAAAACACCTAAAGACTCAAGATGAAGGAAAACACATAATAAAACACGAAACGGACTAAAAACTAAAGAAACGACCTAAAATGGGAGAAAAAGAAAGATAAAGTAAACACGAAAAACGCAACAAAAATGAGACAAACATTGAGCAGAGAGTATTGACTCATTGGTCGTCATAATTATGCCTATAGGGAGGGTTGATAGAGAGTATTGAGTCGTTGCAATTGTAAAATGGTCGTAATAATTTTTGGCCTTTAACAATAGGTATATCGAATCAAAACTCAAATTTTTTAAAACCAATTATTTGAAATAGAAATATTTTGAAACCAATGATCAAAAATAGAAATGTTGAATTACCAAGGTAAGCTGGCTGGGGTCCGACACTCGGGTATTACTCCTTTGGGGTCTTGTTTAGTTTTGTTGGTGTAGTTGATTTCGTGTGATTGTGTTTTTCGTTGTTTTCGTGCGTGTTGCCCGAGTAATACCCCGTTGGGGTCGGCTCTAGGCGATCTCTGGATCTGCCTCCCAGTTTTCTAGTCTCTGGTTGTACTATTCAGCCTTTGGCTGCCTCTTCTTTGCACTTTGTGCAGTTTTATTAATATAATACCTCTATCGTTTCGGAAAAAAAAACAAAGGTAAGCTGGCTACATAAAAAAAGCAAAATTTGAACCGTCACATTCAGCTGCCATCAATTTAGTTTCCTACCTTATTTTAATATTTCGTGTGCCATTTATTCTAGTGTTACATACTTCATACTTCGATTTTTTTATCAAATGAAGAATAATACCGAAAAATAAAAGTCATAAAAGATGATAATAATAGTAATAAAGGCCAACATACACATAAAATCAGAAAATACAAGAATCCAAAGATATAGGTGAATGCCACAAAACAAGACTAAATAGTTATACCACCGCATAAGACCAAACAAGTAGAGAGATGCTAGAGTAACATATTTTCACACCCCATGTCCACAAAAGCATATGTTCTGCCAAGTACTACAATAATTAGAACCAGCTTCAGACTCCAGTATTTCCATTGCTCTTCGCATTTTCACTGGTGACTTCTGCTTGGAACCTGAGTTGCACAGAAAACATCTCATGTGTCAATGTCCAAACTCACATAGTAATTATAACAAACCACAGGACTTGGCAATCCAAGATTCTACTCACAGGACATTACAACTAGGGGTGTGCAAACTTCGATTCACACCAAATAACCGGCAGAAATAATCAATTTTGTTTGGTTATACAATATTAATTTGTCTGAAGTAACGAAACCGACTATACTATATTTAAACACAATAATATACCTATATATTATTTAAAATATGCCCCAGTACTTCCCAGTTCCCACATGCAATTAAAACTTATCACACTACCCTTCACTTTTCAGTTAACAAAGCAGCAGCCCTCTCCAAACACTCATAAATTTGTGGTGTAAGATTAATTAGGAACTAAATGCATACCTCATAACGGAATGCTCCATTTCCTCCCTGCCAATAGTTTATCAACAAACTTTCAGTGACAAAAAACTAACAACACACTCTTCAACCTAACAAGAGAGAATGCCCAAGAGGATATAAACCATTCAAACCTCATCTGCCTCACAGAATCCAGGTCTCTCGTGGCTTCCTTGCTGCAATAACAACAAACGACATGATAACTTTGAAATTCCATTGAAGAGTGTCAATAAGACCAACACAATATCACATCAAAATGTGATAATCGTCATGAAAAGAAAACTAAAGGCACAATTTCTGCAAAAATAAGCTCACATTGACTGCCAACTTGGGATCCAATGAAAATATTTCCCTTAGGAGGGTATCAAGAAAGAATTTAGATGTAATAAGATCGACGAATGCAGAAGAAAATATTCTATTGCCTATGTAACTATGGGATAGAGATAATGAACAAAAGAAAAATCAAATATTTCACATTTTTTTATACAAGTAGAGAAATAAAAAAGACATGCATACTCACATCTCAAATCGTCTTTTTTCAGCTCTTCGTTTCCTGCAATGGGAGAACTCTTACTTAAAAATCTTAGAATGTAATGAAAAAGTATAGCAAACAATAAAAAAAAAATAACCAACACGAGAGTGGTGAATATAAGATGACATACCAATAACCATCAAAATCCATGCTGCAGTTGTTAAGGTAATCCAAGGAAATAGAACAAATTAGTCAGTGCAAAAAAAGAAAAGGATCAAAGAAAAGGATCAGTACAAGAGGTAGGAGAGTAAGTTGAACAATGGTCGGGTTGGAAAAAAAAGTTATCACTTACAAGTATGAAGAGAAAGCATACAAACACCAAGGCACAGCTATGCAGAAACCCACGTTTCCTAAAGAGTAGATCACAATGAGTACAGTAGTTTAACAACGAGCACACACACACACACACTTAACATTAACAATCTTACTTCGCAGAAAGACAGAGGTACGAGTAGGTACTCGACCATAAATATCCCTATCCCTACACCAAATATCGCACAAATCAAATCAACAAGATAATAGTTGTCATGCAAAGGAGATCAATTAACTCATGAATTATCATACTCTATATTAGGAATAAAGTTCAGTTTTTTAAGTTTTTGCAAAAGAATTACTCAGAATACATCTACTACCTTCTTGTCATGGTGCTGGATTCCTGTAAAAAACGATAAAGCATAATTAGGCACCCCCATTTATTTCGTGGCTTACAACAAATAAATAAACTAAAAGAAAAGCAAAAAGTGTTGGAAGGTGCTTGTTCACCGTTCATCAGTTTCAAATAAGCTTGACAAGGACATATGAAGATTTTGGTTATCCGATTAAAACACGTAAAAGTAAAAATAACCAGAGAAGCAAAAAAGAGGCATCTTCAGTCATTTCAGATCTAGAAACTTTTCTGTAAAAATAACAATAATTTAGTAACAAAAAAATAGATGTTTTGGTCGCGATTACCCTCGGTCGTTTCCCACAACGTCGAGAAATAGCGAGAAAGAGAGAGAGAGAGAGAGAGAGAGAGAGAGAGAGAGATCGTGTGCTTCGACAGCCGTACCGGGCTTGTCGCCGTCGCCGCTTCCAGACTATCGCCTTCGGCAGTGTTTGTGTGTGTGTGTGTGTGTGAGAGAGAGAGAGAGAGAGAGAGAGAATTTACCTCTTTTACTGGGAGAATCAATTGGATGGAATGATACCCTCCGGCCCATCCATTTACTGTGTTTTTAAGGTGGTGTAGGCCGCAGAGCGCTCAATGGGCCAACATTATAATTGGATATCGTTTTTATTGGGCCGCTCCATGTCATACAAGTCTCAAAATTTGGGCAGGGCCTATGATACATATTATATATATCATAAAAATTATCCTCTTACAATTTTAATTTATTTTTAGCTTAATTATTTTTTATGCACATTGTTGGCGACCTACCTGGGTAAGCCATACTTTAGGCTGTCAAACCCTCGTCAAAATAAAACTTATGGCACCTCGGTTTGGACCAAAACAATGAACCGACCTCATTTACAAAGATGGTCGATATCTCCCTAAAAACCGAGGTACCCTCTCACAAAAACCGACGTGGAAGCAGAACCGAGGTCGCAGCAGGTGACAAAGCACCCACGCCACACGTCTACGTACCACACATGTAGTTATCATTCCCGTGGGCTCCCCTTCAGGAGACCGCCTCATAAAGCCACTCTTGCAATAAATGCAACCGTATATACCTCGAAATTCAAACACAAAACAAGCTACTATAAATAGCTGAAATTATGTCTTGTAAAAGGGGAATTGAGGACATTCCATAGACGCCTGTATCGAAAACACCTCTGTTTACACTCGACCGACTTCCTATATTCCTAACCCACCCACGAAAATACAAATTTCTTACACTTAAGTCAATTACTTACCTTTTTATCAACATGCCATATGAACAGATCATTAAGACGTAAATTTCGACTGATGCTTACAATTTTGCAATAGTCAAATATCTTTCTCATTTTTTATTAAAAAAATTGATTAGCATAAATTGGGAATTTCGAATTAGAAAAATACTATCACATATATCTTTTCCTAATTGCAACAGATCAATTGTTTATTAAAAAACGGATTGCATAGAAATCGAGTTAATTTAGGTAAAATTCGACATGCCAATTTTGTAAAAGTCAAAATTTTCTCATTTTTTATTAAGAAAACAAGTTCACCGAAAAATCGATATCAGTTTATTAAAATAAATTGGATTGCATAAAAACCGGGCGATATGCATAGAGCAATGGAAGGAGGTTGGTTTCGTTGTAGACAAATAGACCAGCCTGGTCGCAGGGTACATGCGCGGGTAAGAACATGAGATTGCAATGAAGATGCTGATGATGTTGAGGAGCTCTGGGAGATGGAGCATGTCGCCAGTATCTGTTGGATTTTGAATACCCTAGAGAATTCTGACGATCAAGACCATATCATGTGTGTATTTACTTGTAAGAGAGTTATCTATATTTAACGAAGACAGTGAGCCACATTCAGATGCGGAAACTATCAAGAAGGAATTAGTTAGGACTCATTTCATGGTAACCGATCTCACAATTCGACCCCAATTCAGCCGATCTCACAATGGCCGCTCAAGTCTTTCGTTTTTTAAAATGAAATGAGAAGCATCTTTTAGGATTTTTTTTTTTTTTTTCATTCCAACTTGACAATTTCATTGATAGATGCTAAAAGAAGAAACAAATGTATATTTTACATCCATCCAATGGCCACTCAAGTCTTCAGGAAAGAAGGCCTCAAACGATGGACAACCAACTGAGCCAACATTAAAGCAACGTCGTATTGCAAGCTAATAAATTATCCATAGCAGCATATGCAAACTAAAAGTTATCCATAGCATCATATAATAGGAGATGACACAAAGCAAGGGGCCATACATAGTTTAGCCGTATTGCAAACTATAAAATTATCCATAGCAGCATATGCAAACTAATAAATTATCCACAGGAGATGACACAAAGCAGCAGGTCATACATAGTTTAGTTTTTACACCCGGGATTGCCAAAAACATAGTGCTCCACAAACACTGCTACAGTCGTATTTCACGCTCCTTGTGACCTGAGTTGGATATAAAAACATCTTATGTCAAAAGTTTGGGTACGAAAACCAAATTTTTGCCATAAAAATTCACACACATACAGAATTCATAGCATTTAAAATTCGAGGATTTCGTTCACACAAAAATTAAGACCAAAACTAAAGGAACAAAAACTAGACTCTTCATGGAGTACAAACCTTAGTTCTTTCAACTGTTCCTTAAGTTTGTCAAAACGCTCCCTGTCAATAATCACAGACAAAAATGAGTCATAAAAGCAATCTGTTTTTGTCTTTCAAACAGAACAGAATGAAATAAACAAAATAAAATAAAGTCAGAGTAGAGCGAAGAAAAGGCATCATGCATTTTGCGTGCAAAATGGACTGCTACCATGAACATCTCATTTTTAACAAGATGATGTAGCATGAGAGGGAAACAATAACTTGATACCTAAGCAACTGAATTCTCACCCATTTTAAATTAATGTCTTTCATTGTATAGAACTTTGAATAAAGGATTTGGCGATACCCAATAGCATTTGCTTTTAAAAATGACATTCAGTAATATTTCGAGCAAAACTATAGTGCAAATAACTCCAAAACCAACACATGCTTATGAATTTTTCTAGTAAACCTATTTACTACACACCTCAGGAACAATTTAAATTCTTTTTCATGTTGTCGGACAATTAATTTAGCAAAACTCAAAAATGAGTGTACAAATTTTGAAAAGCATTACTAGGCATCCAAACATGGTTCCTAAAGCAATCATTAAATCCAACATAAATCACAAATGATCAATGTAGACCATACATGATTTGAGTCCAGTAGACACCACAAAATAAGAGCTCTATATGTCATGTAGATTAAGTAATCAACTGAGAACTTGGAAGAACAATATCAGTAATCAACTAAGAACTTGGAAGAACATTATGAGCCAAACATAAAGATTTTTAAGCCATACCATTCACTCTTCCATTCAGCATTGAGCTCCGCCAGTTGTGTAGAAGCTTTGCTGCAACAAGAGTATGTAAAGGATACCAATAAGGGGAACATCTAATTATTCACAAGACATCAATATAAAAAAATTGATTAAGCAATATTTATTAGAAATTTGAGAATTACTATTTGATTATTTTGTCAACATTCTTAAACTAGTAATACAATAAACATATTATTGTTTTGGTTTTGTGTATGTAGGGTACTTGTGTATTTCCGCTTATTGAGTTTGTTTAAAATTTTCCAATTCTGAAAGAAAGAAGTACGGAAGCGTTGTGGAAATAACCGAGTCTGACATATAGTTCAACTTCAAACCGTATCCAACACGTATCAAAAGAATTAAGCATACATAACTTGGGTAAGCAATGAGAGAACTTACTAGTCACCATAATCAACCCTGTCATATCAGAACCAAAGAGGGAGAGACAGAGGTTACAGTCAGTTCACAGCTTGTATAAAAAGATTGCCACAACATAAATTTAGTTAGGCATAGCAAGCAGATACTTACAACCGACATAAACCCCAGACGGCGACCGCTGCCCCTAAATTCTTAGCTAAACATTCAACGGTAATCCCTCTTTCAGTTTCTCGAAATTCCCTATATACATAAGAAATGGTCAACTTATAGATAAAATTTAGTACAACCAAGGGACAGGAATAACACAAGTATTACCTAAATTTAGACCAAAACCCAAGTGAAGGTGTCGGGGGAATTGCTGGCCTCAGCCCCTCTTGTGCAGCCCGACTGAATTGTAAAACACAACACAATAAATGAATAAATGAATAAATGAATATCCACCACCACCACCACCAACAACAAATACAACAACAACAACAAAAGTGTACAACATTGCCCACAATAACAATATATACCTGATTGTACGCCACATAGCAAGCAATAACGGCAAACACAAACCTGAAAATACAGGAAAATGTTAAAAACGTATGGGAATAAGCTTTAATAGCCTGTCTGAAATTTAACGACCCATTAAAACACATAAAACAGGAGAAAACTTATCCATTTTAAACGCAAGCAACAAACTTTCTCGAGAAATACGTAATTTGAGATCACAAAAAAAATTAAAACATAAAAAAAATGTATATTTTGGTTTCGATTTGCATCGGCCGCGTCACACGACGTCCTCATCGACGGATTTACTGGAGAGGCTGAGATCGTGTGACGTGACGGCCTCACAAGTCACAAGGCTTTCCGCCGGCTTCCTCGCTTCCCCAACCTTCGCCTTCCCCCGCCCATGAACAGAAAACCTCAAAGGGGGAAAGGCGCGCGGTGGTTCGAAGGAGGAGAGGCGGCGGTGGGGATCCTGTGTGTGTGTGAAAGAGAGAGAGAGAGAGAGAGAGAGAGAGAGAGAGAGAGAGAGACCTCTTTCAAACCAGGGACTCAGGGAGGAATGATTGATTGCTACCTTAGCCATTTGCCTATGTTTTCAAAGCGCTGTGCCGTAAATGGGTTTGGACCATTGGTCGGTTTAACGGACCATATTAAGTTTAGCAGAAAGCATTGGGCCGTTACAATATGTAGCAGACAAATAGTCTTCATAATTAAGGGTTTGGACCATTGGTCGGTTTAACGGGCCATATTAAGTTTAGCAGAAAGCATTGGGCCGTTACAATATGTAGCAGACAAATAGTCTTCATAATTAAGGCTAGAGAACACATAGACAAGTCAATTCGGGCATCAATTCCACAAAAACGAAAGGAAAAAACTTTTCACACATTTGTGAAGCCAGAATTTATGAACTCACAAAACACGGCTTTTTTTTTTTCATAAAACTAGTTTGTCAACGTGCACAGCCGGGCCCAATTTCGTTATAATAGTGCTCAATTTTTGCTATAGTTAGGTATGTAATTAATTTATAATCAAATTATGTGTTACATTGCAAAAGTAATTTTTCATTGAATATTACTTTTAATATATAGTTATCATGCTAATTGTATTTGCAATGTATAACAAAAAGAATGATAATTACAGCGCTTTTACAACATTAGTACATTAGAATCAACAGCGACAGCTACTACTGAAGCATCAAGATAAATTTCATTTTACCTCCAATGTCTCAGTTAAAAGTGGCACAATATGAAAGATCTACTCCAGCACAATTTAGAATGGCGGCATAGTTGATTAGTGCAAGCCACATAATAGATTAGTGTTAAAGTTGGATTATAACAAACATTAGATTTTAACTTTGAATGCATTGGGTATGATTTCTGAAATGCAAGTAGATTAGCATTGCTATCCAAAAATTCTCTCATAATACCATTCTGCATGAGTTTATTCCCATGACTGAATTATCGCATATTTATATTTAGCATTTGCAATTTGTATGACTACTTTGGTGGTGTTACTATAGTTGTTGTCAATATGCGTTCTCTAAAAATTCATAGAAATTGGCTGCATCAAATGATTGTCTTTAAAAAATGAGAAAAATCCAAGTATATTAAGTCGTGCTTGTAATATAATTTTATGGTAATTTTGCATAATGTATGCACTTTCAATTATCTGACCATGCTTTTCCAAATAAGCAAAGAAAATGAGCCTTTTGGAAAAACACGGCGCCTCCTGTTAAATAACAAAGACAATTTCCAACAATTTCGTGTCAAAAAACAAAAACTATTTTCGAGAATTTGAAAGCAAAAGAGTTCCCAGTGATGGGGGAACCTGAAAAAAAAAAAAAGAAAAAAAATATATTTAGCAAAGTTTTCCAGTTGAAATTTCTCCTTGTTTTATGCAGTACCACGCTTGAGCTTTTGACATAATTTCCTTTTGTGAGGCATGTGAGAAATCGAACTGAATAGAAACACAATTGAACTCAAATTAGTATTTGTGAAACACCTGTTAACATTAAGTTTTTTGATAAAATAGAATGTAAAATTGCTACAAAATATTTAACGAAACTAATAATAGCGTAGATTAGGCCTTCCAATTATTTCACTTTACATTTGTAAAATTATCGTATTTCTTGGAACCATATCATATAAGTTTGTTCATTACTCAAAATATACCTTTTTGAAATGAATATGGAAGGAAAATTAGAAATTTAAAATTAAATATCCATTTAAGCCATTTTACCATCCTATAAATGATATTTGACCCCCACTCAACAAAAAGTCCTACACCCAACCTTTGCCAATAAGCACAATTCATACCTGTGTGTACATTGTTTATCTCGGTAAAATAAGTGTTCTCTTTCTGCCTGGAAAAAATAATAGCCCCTTAAATAATTCTTGAAAATGAGCAGCAAAGTATGAGTTTTAGATAACAAAATTAAACTGAAGAGAAAGAAATTAGATTTGTCCTTGTTAACCACGCTAATATCTCAGTAAGTAGTTTCAAACCGCTCAATAGAAGCTGGTGTCTAAGAACTTCAATTACAACAAATCCTAAAAAGATAGGAACTTCACAACATGTCACAGTTGTTGTCATCCTCGTCCATAGAGCTTATGACGCAAGACGTCTCTATTCCATAAACTTCATTCATTCGCCATCTGTGTGAAGCAATTGTAAAATACATGAAATGTAATAAATGAAGGACAAGAAAACAAAAAATAGATGAGAAAACTAAACTATAACTGCGAATCCANAAAAAAAAAAAAAAAAAAAAAAATGATTTCACACATATCTCACAATAGTTGAATCACACATATCTCCCAGGTCCGATCTTCCTTGAACCCAGGACCGTAGGCACGTCCCTGCTCGGTCAAGGCTCGAAATCGGATTCCCAGTACCCACGGCCCATTAATCGACGATTGCACCTCCAACACGAATTTCAGCATTAGCCCCCCTACAATGTTGTATCGCCATGAATGATTTAAAACTGCTTCCAACTTCAGCACCAGCTTCTGCCTGGTTAACAAGGGATCGACACCACTAGGTAATTAATTTCAGATTGACGTGTATCGTTCTTATACCCTTCTAAATTAACAAAGTTAGAAAGTAGCTCAGGTAAATTATAAACAAAAGAAATAAGATGTGGATAAATTACAGTTGAAGCAACAATAGCTGCAACTCTTCGACTCGTACTGGTTCCCAAGACAAACTGTTCCCTCAATGCAGCAGATTTGGTGAAGCTATCGCGAGCTCTTTCAAGTCCTTCTGTAATATATAAATTGACCTAAAGTTGTAATGAAAATTACAACAACAACAACATAGCCTTTAGTCCCAAGCAAGTCGGGGAAAGTTGTAATGAAAATTAAACAAACAAATATAGCTATAAAATATCATATAAAAATATTGAAAAAGAAAAAGGTGCTAAGCATATAAAGAAAAATGCAATTCAACATGGTCAAGAGGCAAGTGGCAACAGCCCACACGTTGGCAGCAAGTGTGGCAGATTGCACAATGACAACAAGAGAATATCCAATAATTTAAGAGGGTGTAAAAATAAGTGCAAGATAACAACAACACTGGAAAACATGAACCAGATACATCTGCTTAATTATCAGATAAAAAAAAAAAAGAAGTAGAAAAATAAAAGCCCCAGGCACGAGCTTTCTACAGCCACTCCATCTTTGAGATATTCAAATAAAAAAGATTTTTCCTCGTTAATTTAAGGATTGCAAAAGAAACCAAACCAAAAACCAGATCAAAATAAGATGAACTAAACGATCAAACAGTCACACAAGGTAACGAAAGTCTTATATAAGCCAAGCGATCTACCAAAACCACGAAACAAAAGAGAAGAAAACAAAGAGCGAATGAAAGTATTACAGCACCAATTCAAATAATGCATAAAAATAACACGAAGGGTACCTCTATTTGATGCTTTCCCGCCTCTCTTTCCTTATGAAATCATCGTCAACAGATTCACCTTTCTCCTCACCATCATCATTCCCCATATCACTCTCACCCGCAGTCTTCCACTCGGAATCATCACTCTCGTGTCCACAGCCATCACCGGGCCCACCCTCACACAAAATGCCGCCATGCTTAGCTGCAGCCTCACGAAACAGCCACACGGCCCTCATCTGTTTCTTCACGAGCCGATCAGCATAATCCAGGACCTTGTTCTGCCTCAACGAAAGATCCGGGTCAGCCTACTGGCTCGTTCACAAACAGGATTGCATCCAGAAGGCTCTCCTTGGCCATCCCGGGCTCAGCGGCCAAAATCTAACCATATATTAAGCAATTATTAACTTCTACAGGTCCAATTCAACCAACAAACAACATTTAATTAGCACCAAATAAAAGAAAACAGATAAAAACACACCTTTCAGTGAAGTCTCTATCGTCGTCGTCTCGTGAGATTGAATGAGATTGAATTTTTTCCTTCCTGCAAAGATTCAACCCAATGTCATCAGAATACATAATCATTATACAAGCAAACTTAATGATAGAAACAGAAAAAGCCAGTATGCTATTTATCCTACAATAACATATTGAATTATATTGCTCTATGGGTGTGCGCATATGACAAAAGAAAAGTGAATATGTTTTATCCATCTAATGAATTAAAATGAAAAAGGAAAAAGATTACATTGTGTGTGTGTTTAGGTTCCTACAAAATCAAACTTAAGCCGACGACAACAACAACTATCTTAAGTGTAAATCCTCATAGCCATATGCCTAAAATGAACTAAATAAGCAACTAACAAGTATTAACCAAGCAAAAGGACAACACAACCTAGTCAACGCGAAAAAAAAAGTTGGAAATCCTCATATCATTCAAACAACTACATCCTTCATCATCATGATCTGTCTTAAACCCTCGTCTTTATCACCCAATGCCCAGTCTGTAAACTTAAAAAGTTGGAGAACCGAACAATATCACCAATGAATGGTTCAAAAAATCAACTATGCACACACGCCAGCAAAATTACAGAAGCACATCAACAACTGTTCGCAAACTGAATAATCCACATCAGAGAACACAATTCCGATATACCCTAATTCCAAAAGTTCCAAATTAACCCAATAATAATGTGTGACAACATCTTCCACAATAGGCATCCATCCATTGAATATGAAATCAATGAAATTCAATAACTCTGATAAGTCGCGCAAACTATATATATTGTTAAATGAATTTTTTTTTCTGGTGATGGAGTCAAAATAGAAAAAAGAATTCAGAAGGGAAAATTGCGAAAAAAAAAAGTCATTTTTGTCTATCATGACAATAAAAACAACTGTTTCGACCAAAAGCAGCATTCCGGCAAAGACGTTGAAAAAATGGCCGCTTTGTATATTCTGAGAACCCGAATGAAAATGAGAAATTTTTCAAAAAAGTCACTTCCCATCTCAATAACAGTCCACGACGCCTGATTGGGCCAGATTTGTCCATTGCTGGACACATTCCGTCGCCTCTCTCGTCTTCAACCTGTCTTCTCCCTCCGAACACTGCAACCGGTCCGCTGCTCAGGCGTGGAACAATGTAGGACAACGCGGGTTGTTGGAGTAGGGCATTGAGGTGAGCCTGGAGGTGAAGATGAATATGAGGTAGAGCCGTAGAGGAGAGCCACAAGGGGTTTGAGATTGGAGATAAGCTTCTACTCTGTTGAGTGTGCGAAAAATCTAAAGCTCTGCACAAACCAAACCACCAAAATAATGCCCTTAATATCAACAAATACCCATTAAAAAATAGATCGACACCAACACACAAGCTGAAAAAAATAAAAAACAAAAAAGGCGCTGGCCCTGTACCGTCACACGGCGGCGCTGGATCTGTCGATGTGCTCGAGGGTCACCGATTTCTCGCTCGTGGTTATCTCCGACTGGTGCTGGGGAATTCTGAGATCGGTCAATTTGTCGTGGTCGAGGTTTATCACGCACGCGGGGCTGTCGGATTTGGTGCGAATTGGGTGAATCTGGTGGAGATTGGTTTGTCGAACGCGACGGAGCTCCAGGACTCTTCCATGGCGGCGGTTGCTCGGGCGAGGAGCTTGAATAGGCTGTGCCTGGCGAGGCTAGAGCGAACTCAGTCAGGAGAGAAGAAAGGGTTTGGAAAATGAAAAGAATGAGGGTGATGTCGAATGTCGATCGCTAATATTTTTTCCTCTGGCAGAGGAGATAAGATAGGGGTGGGTAAATGAAAAGACTGCCTGATTGCGTGTGTGCGAGAACTCGGGGAAAGGAAGAAAAGAGACGTCTTGACCAGCGGGAATTCTGCCAAAAGGAAAAAAGTTTCATGTTGGGGCTTAACAATTAAGGTAGACCAATCGACGTCGTTTACTCTCAAATGGAGAGCGAAGAAGGCAGCCACGTGTCGGCAAACAAAGGGGATATGTGGTTTTCTTATAAGGTAGAGGGAGATAGGAAGTAATTTTTGTAGAGCAATAACTCTTTCATTAATTCCCTAATCCACGCCACAACTTTGTGTAATCAAGGAGAGGTGGTGAAAATAAAACGGTTGCAAGAACCTACCATAGTTATCAAAAGTTGAGTTTATTTTAAGTTTATAATTAGTTAAATAACAAACATAACATTTATGATACCAAACTATTTACATTATGAATAAACATAAACATGTAACATACCAAACATAAACATGTAGCATACCCAAACTAGTTACAGAGAAGAAAAAAAAAAACATGTTGGATACATTTTACTAAAATGAATGATAACATGATTTCTACTAAATGTAATGTGAGAAATGCTATGGAGCCAATGGTTGGCTCCTTTATGGAGCCAACCACCAATGTTATAGTGCCACGTAGGCCATGTGAGAAAATAATTATCTCCACATGGCCTACGTGGCACTATAACATTGGTGGTTAGCTCCATAAAAGAGTCAACCATTGGCTCCATAGCATTCCTCAACATGATGTAATTCTTGATGTTTAGTTTAAAACCTGTAAAACGACATTAGTTTGAAAAGATAAACAGGGAATATACCATCATACATAACCAAAATACGAAAATCCCAAAAGTAAAACCAACAGACATTTTTTTTTTTTTTTTTTTTTTTTNTTTGTGTCTAATATCACATACCAAAAACAACCCAGGTAATCCTAACATAATACCAAAATATTCTTCTTGGTCTAACGAAATTTCTTGTTCCATTTCAAAATTGGAATCACTATCAAACGGCCCGTCGCTACATAAACAAGCTTACGCTTGCCCTTCACATCAGCGTCGATCTTCTTCCGAGAAACTGAGTAGCATTCTTTACGAGCACTAGTGCGAGTGGTCGGCCGTCTCACCGTGGAATGTTCTTTAAATGATGTATCAAATACATATGTTGATCTTTGTTTTTCGACATATCGGAGAATATTGGGGGATGATAATGGCTGATCAAGTGTTTGGCCTTGTAATTGTTACTTGTTGGGTTTTTGTTGAACAAAATAGAAAGATGGAGGTTGCTTGTTTTGGGAATAGGAATATTGATAACGGAGAAAAAAATTAGCAGAATCAAACCTACCTTTTTTTAAATTCAATTAATTATTTAATCAATTGATATTTAAAAAAAGTCAACAGATATTTTTATGGAATACAAAACCTGTTTATTCTCGTTTAAGCGGCACGATTATTTTTTATATGGGATTAAAAACTTAACACCGTTTTTATGTCCTTAAGAAAATGTTTGGTCGTATAAGGGGTAAATTACTCCATATAAATTAAGCCATTTTTAGTTGGATCAAAATCAAGCCTATATTTCTTGACCTTGTATGGGGTAAACATTATAATTCAAAGATTGATTTAGATTATCAACTACTAATACTCAAACAAAATAAATTGAAATTTTAAAGCAACGACGAAGATCAAACAATGATAAAGAAGCTAGGGAGTCGGGGATATTTGTTTTGATTCAAAATGCAATCAACGGCAAGTGATCATTCAGTTAAAGTATTCGAATAACCTACACGTTCATAGATTTATCCTCAATAACTTTTCGTAACAAATGAACCAAAATGAACAACAAATCAATGAGTCGTTTAACACATAGACAATATAATTATGAACAAACCTATTTTATACGAGCCTAGACCGATCAACTCCTCCCCTTTCGGTTCTAAGAGTTGATTAAATTAGACTAGACGGTGTTTAAACGACTAATTGGTTAGAATGAACAACATCACACGAGAATGAATCATATTCAATTGAAAATCAATTGAAGATTAAAGTGTCACCCTTCAACAATTTTCAACAATCACACATAATAATTGAAAAACCTATTTAAGAATAACACATATAAATTGAACCATCAACGAACACGATAATCACAAACGAAACTAAAACATCATCCCCTATCCCTAGCAGATCGAATTAGCTACTCATTTTCAATTCCACACAATCAATCTCAACAATCAAAGCAATCAAATTCATGGATTAAATGATTAGAAAAACATACGATTAAACCGGAATTGAATCCGAAATACGAGATTAATCCAAAAACAATGTAAAAATCCAAAATTAAGTTTATGTTTTAAGATGAAAAATTGAAGAAGTGTTTTTGGGAGTGATGGGGGGGCTAGGTTTTCGTCCAGTAAAAAGGATCGATCTTTTGTCCAAGTCCCGTATGCATATATATAAGTGAAATTGTGTCGCAGCACGGAGGTTGTGCTGCGGTGTGAGGGAGCACAAGCGCCGCAGCGTGAAAGGTGTGGCGCGGGGTGATTTTGGGAGCAGTTGCACTATCTGGCAGGGCGTGACGGCGTTGCGGGATGTGGCGCGGCGTGAAGGTAGCAAGTTGTCGCGGTGTGACGAGCTACTTGTGTTGCTTCTCTGGTGAGGCGTTAGGCGTGTTGCGGGACGCGTAGCGGCGTGGAGCCTGGCAGGGTGCCGCGGCGTGACAAGTGTCACGGCGTGGCACCTGGAGATACCAAGCTCTCTGTTGGCCCGTGGAAGGTGCCGCGCTTTGGCGCGCGGCGTGGAGCTGGAGTTATGCTGCGGTGGAGGCCTGGGGCTGGTGGCTTCCTTGCACGACTTCGCGTATCGGAATCGTTTGAGCTCGTCTGGACTCAAAATTTAATTCCATTTTTTTTTGTGCAACGCAAACGCATCCTTATACAAAATTAAGCTCGCCAAAACATTTTTTCTCCTTCAAATCATAATCGACTGAGGCACTCGACCTGCACACTACAAAAGACGAGAAAAGGGCTGAAAACTAAGAGAACAAACAAAAAACACCAAAAAAGCCAAAATAAATGTAGAAAACGAGGAGACAATCATGCTTGCTTACAAGCCCACTAAAAATTCTTGCACATTATTTGAAAATAAATGCTATAAGTACATAATACTGTACACAGAGGTGTACATACACTTACATTAAGTGGGTCCTACCAAATATAAAATATCAAGTGAGCCCCACTCCATGTGAGTGTTATGTACACCTCTATTTACATTTAATATGTATTTGTAGCATTTTTCTTGTTGGAATATCACTTGTGAGTTGTCCCAAATTGATTCGATATGGTAAATGAGCTTAATTTATAAACCTAGTGGGTTACTCCTCCCATCATCAATTGGTTTTGGTATGAAACATCACTATGGTGCACCTAAATCCACCCTCTTAGATGCACTTCATCTATGTGGGACCGCACCCTCTTGCCCCGATTATAAATTTAATACATATGTTGTCCTAGTCCGACAAGCATCAAACCAAAATCCACAAAATATAAGCCACCCACAATTAAACAAGTACATGCATGTGAGTGAGAATTCAACCCTATCCGAACCGCCAACATAGTGTCTGAACATGTTCATTAGATCACACCGTCTACATTGGGTCTGAACTAGGGCTGCAAACGAGCCGAGCCGAGTCGAGAATTGGCCTTATCGAGCAGGATTTAATTTTTTTTTTAGCTGCTCGAGCTCGAGCTCGATTTATAAGACTCGAGCTCGACTCGATAAGAATATACAATAGCTTGAGCTCGGCTCGAGCTCGACTCGAAATCAAATGCTGGAGCTCGATTCAAAAATTTTAAGTAAAATTACCATTAAGCACTCGTGTTATACTATTTAAATATATAAGGAGTATTTTAGTAATTTAATATATATATCAAGACGCTTGACAATACAAAATATGAGCTCGAGTTCAACCCGAGTTCGATCAAACTCGAACTCGAGTCGAGCTTTGACTCAAGCGCTCGCGAGCCGCTCGACTCGTTTGCAGTCCTAATCTGAACTATTAGACTACATTCACACGAATATGTATTGAACTGACTATTCAGATCTCAGTATTGACACTTATGATAAATTTTACATAATATGAGTCTAAATCGTTACGGGTTATAAACAAGTCGAGCCGAGCTGAGCTGGTGTTCGAGCCCTTAACAGTCGAGTCAGGCTCGGCTTGTTATGTAAGCGAGCCAAAGAACGAGCTTACGCTCAATTCGGTTACCAATCGAGTTCGAACCTTAACGAGTCGATCTCAAGTCTTAACAAACCGAATTATAGAAAACTATAAAAAAAAATCTCTTTTTAAGCCTTAACGAGTCTTATCGAACCAAGTCAAGCCCGACTCATAAACATAACGAGCTTAAAACGAATTCGAACTCAACTCGTTTATCAAACGAGTCGAACCGAACTCGAGTCTTAACGAGTTAAGTGAAACTCACGATAAACAGTTTAGAGAGTATGAACCTTCAGACCACATGCGCACACACCAGTGCAAGCATGTATTGGTCCAATAGTTCATATTTCAATGTGGGCACTTATGGTTTTCAACCGTATGAGAATTGAGAATATAACTCTGCTTTGCATAACAAGAAAGAAAAACAGCAATTAAAATACACTAAATCTCATGCATCCAACAAAAACAAGAACATGTATATATATGAGCATATCTCAATTTCTATAATAACAATGTATATACACAATTACAAACCCATTATTACACACACAAACAATCCAACAAGCCACCTCAAGATCTTCAACTGGAAAATGGTTGAAGAAAAACAGGGGGGCTGTGTTTTTTCTTTTATTTATTTTTCAATAGACTACACATCTGATAAGAATACCAGATATTCTAAACCCAGCTCATAATTTACAAATCCACAGAACAAATCGAATCCCAGATTATAAAAATCTCACCTTGGCAAGCCCACTTCATTATTACAACCAAATAGATTTACACAAATGTCTGCAAGTTTCTTGACGCTCAATCTGGACCGTCGATTTTTTGACTGCTTTGGAGCATTCGGAGCTTCAGCTTCACCAAAGACGTCAAGATCCTCCACACTTTTGAAAGCCAGAGTTTTTCTCGGCGTACTGTAAGCAAAATGTGTCTGTTTTGCAAGCAAAGCCTGTTTCAATCAAAATGAACCAATTTCAAAAACCAAATAAAAAAAAATTAACCAAAAAAGCACTAAAAATATTCAATCTTTACTAATCAATAACAAAAATCACAGAAGAAAGCAGAGTCTCACAGCTTCTTTCATCGCCTTCGACACAGAAAACAGGCTTTTCAGATCATCATGCTCCACCCCACAAATTATCCTAATCT